GACCACAGATGTGTGCCACCATGCCCAGATAACTTTTTATTTTTGTTTTTGTAGAGTTGGGGTCTCACTATATTGCACAGGGTGGTCTTGAACTCCTGGCCTCAGGTGATTCTCCCTCCTTGGCCTCCCAAAGTGCTGGGATTACAGGTGTGAGCCACTATGCCCTACCAGTGTTTCTTTTTTGGAAGAAGAAGAACTATGAATTCAATTTCTTCAGTGCTTAGAAGACTATTCAGGTCACTGTTGCATCTTGGGTGACTTTTGGAACATAGGATTTTTGAGGAGTTGGTTCATTTCATCTGTTAACTTTTTGTGTGTAGAGTTTCCCTTCAGGCCATGAAATCATTGAAAGGTTGATAAGGGTCCGCAGAAACAGGATTACAAAACGTTAATAAGGGAATTCTCCTAATAACCTTTTAGTGATGCCGGGGCCTGACGTTACGTTCCCGGCGTGCCTCATGTTGGTGGCTTGTGTCTTCTCTTTCCTTTTTCTATGTTATTCTTTCTAGAGGTTTAACTGTTTTATGGCTCTTTTTTCAAAGAAGTCGCTTTTGGATACGTTGATTTTTCTTTATTGTTTTTCTGTTTTCAGTTTCACTGATGATTGTTGTTTTTTTCTGCTGGCTTCTGGCTTTTCTCTGTTTCTAGTTGCTGAAGGTGAAGCTCTAGTTATTGGTTTGGGGCCTCTCCTGTTTGTAATATGTGCATTTAATGATGTGCATCGCCCTTAAGCAGTAGCTGCATCGCCAGATTTTCATATATTTTTATTTTCATTGAGTTCAAAATATTCTAAATGTTCCTTAAGACTTCCTCTTTGACTTGTGAATTATTTAGAAATATGGCACCTATTTTCCAAATATCTGGATATTTTCCCATTATCTTTATGCCATTGGCTTCTAGTTCAAGTCCACTACAGTCAGAAGACATACTTGGTATATTTCAGTTCTTTTAAATTTGTTAAGTTGTGTTTTGTGGCCCAGAATGTAGTTTCTTTTGAAGAATGTTCTGGTGTACTTGAGAAGAGTATATATTCTTCCCCGGGTGTGGTGGCTCACACCTGTAATCCCAACATTTTGGGAGGCCAAGGCAGTAGAATCACTCGAGCCCAGCCTGGGCAACATGGTGAGATCCCCATCTCTACAAAAAGTTTAAAAAAAAAAAAAATAGCTGGGCATGGGGTTGCCTTTTGTCCCAGCTACTCAGGAGGCTTAGGTGGGAAGGTCACCTGAACCTGGGAGTTTGAGGCTGCAGTGAGCTGTGATTGCACCACTGCACTCCAGCCTGGGGGACAGCAAGAGTGTGTGTCCTTCTTGTTTTGTAAATGTCTGTTCTGTTAATTAGATGAAGGTGTTTGACAGTGTATCCTTGCTGGTTTTCTCACCACGTGTTCTCTTAAAAGTGAGGGCTTGAATTTTTCAGCTGTAACTGCCTCTTTCTGCTTTGCCTTTTGCTTCATATACTTTGAAAGTCTGTTCTTCGGTACATTCACATTTCCGAATGATTGTGTCTTAAACGTGTAATGCTTCTGGCAATGCCGTGTGCTCTAAGTCACTGTGACATTAATGTCGCTGTTTGAATTTCTCTTGATTGGTGTCTGCTCAGTATATACTGTTGGCCCCTCTGCTTCCAACTTACCTGTATAATTGTAAGAAAGTTTCTTATAAACGGCGCATCGCTGGGTTATGCGTGGTTTTAATCCAGCCTGACAAGCTTTGTAATTGGTATGTTTAGACCGTTCACATTTAATGTAATTATCAATGGGCTGGAATTTCCGCCTCCCATTTACTATGTGTTTGCTGCTGTTTCCTGAGGGTTTTACTGCCTAAGTTTACTGTCTTCTTTGAGGTCATTTCTTCCTATTCTGTTCTGTTTTGTCTCTTAAGTTCTTGACCATAAATGCTTTGCATAGTTTTTTAAGTTCCAGGGAATAAAATATCCAGACTTCGTTTTTCACAGTCTACTTAGAATAAACATTGTAACACCTCGACAAGACTGGAGCCGTACCCGGCCTCCGTGTGGGTCACTGACCCTCTGCCTCTATGTTGTAGTTGTCATAATTCCTGTATTTGTTGTCAACTCCATTCAACAAAATGGTCACTTTTGCTTTCCACAGTCAGAAACACTTTAGAGAACTGGAGAAGCAAGGAACTCAGCTTATTCATCCAAATATTTCCCTCTTCTGCTGCTTGCCTTTATTTCTAGTGTTCCGTCCGGAGGACATTCTGTGGGAATTCTTTAGATCAGGTCTGCTTGCAACAAATTATCTTATTTTTATTCATCTAAGAATTTCTTGATTTTCTCTTTCTTCCTGAAAGATATTTTTATTGATTATGAATTATGCGTTTATAATTGTTTTCTTTTGGCACTTTAAAAATGACTCTTGGCCCATTGCGGTGGCTCCCGCCGGTAACCCCCGTACTTTGGGAGGCCGAGGGGGGCAGATCACCTGAGGTCAAGAATTTGAGACCAGTCTGCCCACCATGGGAAAACTCCATGTCTTCTAAAAATACAAAAATTAGCCAGGCTTGGTGGAATGCACCTACAATCCCAGCTATTTGGGAGGCTGCAAGGAGGTTGCAGTGAGCCAGGATCACGCCACTGCACTCCAGTCTGAGCAACAGAGGAAGTCTCTGTCTCAAAAAATAATAATAATAAAAATATTATGCTTCTTTCTATAATAAAAATATGTGTTTCTTTTATGATAATAATAATAAAAATATCTGCTTCTTTCTGGCCTCCATTGTTTCCGTGGAGAAAGCAGTGGTCGCGGGAGCCGCTGTTCCTGTCGAGCCGTCGGTGACTGCATGACGACCTGTCTGCACTTGTACGTCCTTTGCTTTGTTCTGTTTGGGATCTGCTCAGCTTCTTTAATTTACAGGCTTGTGTTTTCACCAAATTTTGGGTTTTTAGCCCAGGTTTGTCACACGCCTTCCCGCACCTGAGTCTCGTGTTTTCCTCTGTCACCCGTAGTGTGAGCGCCAGCCCGCTGCGAGCTCGTGTTCCTGGCCGTTTTGCTCTGTCGTTCAGGTTGGACATTTCTATCGCTCTGTCTTCACACTGTCAGTCATTCTGCCACTGAGCCGATCCAGTGACATCTTTTTATTTCTGTATTTTTCAGTTTTAAAATTTTCGTTTGGTTCTGCTTTGTATGTTATTTCTTGGTTGAGACTTTCTGTTTTTCCATGTATTTCCAAACATTTGTCCTTACTATTTCTTTTCTTTCTTTCTTTCTTTCTTTTTTTTTTTTTTTGAGACAGAGTCTCTGTCGCCAGGCTGGAGTGCAGTGGCACAATCTTGGCTCACTGCAACCTCCACCTCCCGGGTTCAAGCAATTCTCCTGCCTCAGCCTCCTGAGTAGCTGGGATTACAGGCACGCGCCACCACACCCAGCTAATTTTTTTGTATTCTTAGTAGAGACGGGGTTTCACCATGTTGGCCAGGATGGTCTCAATCTCTTGACCTCGTGATCCGCCTGCCTCGGCCTCCCAAAGTGCTGGGATTACAGGCGTGAGCCACCCCGCCCGGCCAGTACCCTGGACATTCGTAATGTTAGGGATGAGATTCTTTGTCTTACTTAACTTCCACGAAGATGTGGATGTGTTTGTTTTACTGTGACTTGGTTGGCGTAACTCCGTAAAGTCTGACCTCGTTCCCTGGGACTGGTTTCAGTGTCATTTTATTTTTAGGGCCTTGGCGTTGCTGTCTCTGCACATCCCACGGGTGTACTGACCTGTAGCCAGTCTGACCACAGCAGTGGAGCAGATGAAGGACAGCAGTGGAAAATCCCACGAAATCCAGATTAAGTCCGTGGTTCCCTTTGAAAACACAAACACAAGCCTCTGAGCAGGCAGGAGTTAGGCTGGGCACTGCACGGAAAGCCCATGACTGCGTGAGGCAGGCGTCTCACGTCCTGTGCATGGCGTCCACCCTCCTGGAGGAGCCCAGGCTGCCGGGTTAGCAGCAGGTGACACAGTTGGCTGAGGCCGCCGTGAGCAGTGTTGACCCAGGGGCATGTCAGCTTCCTTTCTGCGCATCAGATCAATGTGTTCTGCGGTTTCACAGCCTCTGCCTTGGCCCCTGGCTTTTTGATCCATTCCAGATGGCAGGTGATGAGCCTCAGTGACACTCTACGCCTCCCTTGACCTCCTGGGTCACAGCCAGACGCCGTCACAGTTGAGAAGCTGAGGGTTGTGCTGACCGCTGCTCACCTGAGGCCCCTGCTTCTCCTCTGCCCTCCCCAGACCCTCCTGACCATTGAGCCAAGGGCTTGGCTGGTGTCTTCACAGACCCGCCACGTCCAAGGCCTCCCTCGTGCTCACACCATATGCTCCTGATGTGCCGGGAGCGCCAGCTCAGGCTCATGTAACCCAGCCTTCCTCCCGCCCTCCCTACGGTCACCATAGAAGAATGCCACGGCTATGCTTCCTGGGGCCACAGCAGTGCCTGCATGTCTAACAAGGACCTCCAGGGACCCTCCACCCTTGGGCCCCACCTTCCCTCCCAGGAGTCTTCCCTCCTGTAATTGGTCACTCTGCCCTGTGGAGGGTGCTGCCCACTCCAAGCTGCCCCAGCCCCTACAGGCAAGGTTTGCACAGATGCCTGCTGCTACGCTTCCTGGTTTGAGAAACACCCTGAAGATGGGATTTGGGCGCAGGTTTTAGAAGTGGACAGGCTGCCCGAATCCAGCATAGGCCTCGAGTGCTGAGGGCAGTGCCAGGCACATGCTCAAGTCTAGAGGACGGGGTAGCAACATCTGCTTCTGTAGCTGTTCTTGGACAAGTGAAAGGCCACCCGGCTCCTGGTCAGGGCACCAGGGCCTGTGCCACGGACGGCGGAATGCTTAGCTTGGGGTGGTTGGCTTCTACCTCTCGAAAGCTGAGTTTTCCACACGTTCCAGCAAAGCGTTCAGTTCCAGGAAGCACGTGGGGATGGGCAGGGTGGCAGCACCCGCACCAGGTGGGTGTGCCGCCTCTGACCTGCACGTGCTTCATCTTCCGCAGGTGACCCCAGGGTTTGAAGAGAAGGACGGGGAGCTGCTGGTGAGGGGACCCTCCGTGTTTCGAGAATACTGGAATAAACCAGAAGAAACTAAAAGCGCATTCACCGGGGATGGCTGGTTTAAGACAGGTAGGACCCAGCCCCGGGGGAGCGGAGGAGACCCCGGGGTGGGGGAGGGGACAGGCAAGAGCACGCCTTGCCCGGGTTCAGTGACACTAAGCCTGGGAATTCCAGAACTTTCAGCCAAAGGCAGAAGACGGGGGTGGTGCGGGTAGGGCTAGAGGCCACTGTTCCGGCGCTGCACCCTCTGAGCACGCAGCCTCCCCACCAGCCTCTAGAGCAGGGTCTGTGGCCCCATCTATCAGTCCCTCGGTGCCCCGAGACAAGACATCTGCACTGTCCCTCAGCGCGGCAGCCGCTCCGGCAAGTACATATCCTAACCGCAGATGCTGGACACCACACACCCCTTCCTGTGGCCCCTCTGCACTTTGTGGGCCAGGGCGCCCTCCACCTCCCAAGTGCACCCCTGCACCAGAGACCTCATCACCCCCACGCCCAGCCGCCCTCAGGCCCTGCACATCCTCCCTCTACCCGCCGCGGTGCTGCATTATGATAGGTTTGCTGCACATCCTCCCTCTACCCGCCGCGGTGCTGCATTATGATAGGTTTGCTGCACATCCTCCCTCTACCCGCCGCGGTGCTGCATTATGATAGGTTTGCCGTGTGGCTGTCCTTTACCATTCTACATTAGCGCACTCTCTCTGCCTGCTGGAACAGGCCTGGGGGAGCGGGAACTTTGTGGCAGTCAGCTGAGACAGCAGTACCCCTGGAGCCTGTGGGCAGCCCCCACTGCCACCCTCATGCTCTCTCTGAGCCTGCCCTGAACTGCTGCCTGCCCCACCCCTCCTTTGTGAGAAGCCGACTTGGGCCAGGATCCCGCGTCCCACCCCATGGGGCGCATTTGGACATTTGGATAGTGGACACGTTTGGGTGTGCAGGTGCAGGTGTTCACAGGTAGTGGATTTATCCAGAAGATCTGCACTTTGTTCCTGAACTCTGGGTGTGAGGGTGGGAGAGGCCCATTTTCACACATCAGAATCTGCTGGCCCAAACTCAGAAACACGCCTGCCACGTGCCCTTCCACAGGGAGCAGAGCTCAGGGGACACAGTGTGCAAGTGGGAGGGGCTCCTGGATGAGAGCGCGGGGGATGGGTTCCTGGAGGGGTGCTGGGAGGGAGGGGAGCGTGGGGGTTGGGCTCTGAAGGGGTGCGGGGAGGAGGAGAGCATGGGGAATGGGCTCCTGAAGGGGTGGGAGGGAGCAGAGCATGGAGGTTGGACTCCTGGAGGGGTGGGAGGGAGGAGAGCATGGGGGGTGGGCTCTGAAGGGGTGGGAGGGAGGAGAGCGTGGGGGATGGGCTCCTGGAGGGGTGGGAGGGAGGAGAGCGTGGGGGGTGGGCTCTGAAGGGGTGGGAGGGAGGAGAGCGTGAGGGGTGGGCTCCTAGAGGGGTGGGAGGGAGGAGAGCGTGGGGGGTGGGCTCTGAAGGGGTGGGAGGGAGGAGAGCATGGGGGGTGGGCTCTGAAGGGGTGGGAGGGAGGAGAGCGTGGGGGATGGGCTCCTGGAGGGGTGGGAGGGAGGAGAGCGTGGGGGATGGGCTCCTGGAGGGGTGCTGGATGGTGCTGAGTTCCCTGCAGCCTCCCTGCCTTGTGGCCTAGTCTGTGGCTCCCAGAGGCTCTGGAGCATGTGCTGCTGAGAGGCAGGCGTGCTAGGTGTGTGGTCCTTGAGCACATTTGCAAAGTGAAGATTTCTTGAGCCCCTAGAGCAGAGGCCAGTGCCCTATGCAGCATCCCACAGGCTCCCCAGGGGACCCCAGGAGGCACCTTCGTGGCTGGACATCAGCAGAGGACCCAGGGCTGGGGCCTAGAAGCCTGTCTGTGATAGGACGTGGCCGACACAGTCAGCCCTCCCTGCCGGTTGGTCGTTCATGTGCATCCCAGGATGCAGGCTGGTCTGGGGACTGAGCCTGTCCGTGACTCCCCTTCAGACTCGGAATCACAGGAGCCCGACCTGAGTCCGTCCTGCTCTGAGTGTCCCCAACCTCACTCACACTGTGGTTCTTCTTTTACTTTTAAATTCAGATAAAAAGCTGAAGATGTTTTTCTCTTAAAGCACAGGAACCAAAACCCTGTGGGTTTGTTGAGCGGCTGGGCTCTCTGAGCTGCTGGGAGGGCAGCCTGTGACATGCAGGGCTGTGGGCGCGGAAACCCGCCATCCCCGGCACCCATGCGGATTTCAGCCGGGGCGGAATAGCGTGCATTAATTATTGTAAAGAGATGTCTTTAGGAGAAAATGGTTTTGAAATTCAGTTTAATTTCATTGTAATGTGCTGCAAACAGGAAGGGAGTATGTGTGTTTAATTGGCTCTCGGGGGTAAGGCCTGGAAGCCGCATGCCTTTGTCACAGGCCATTAGCGATGCCGCCTGCGTGATGAGAGCCTGCAATCAGCTCACAGCTGCCACTCCTTCAGGGAGAGCATGATATTAAATAGAAATCAGGAGAAATTAAACTTAACCCTTTCCCTGGCCAGCCCCTCCCACCACATGGATTCTGGCATAAGCTGACAGGCACAGGGGACGGCCGGGGATGGCTGGGGATGGCTGGACACGGCCTGGGATAGCCGGGGATGGCCGGGGATGGCTGGGGACGACTGGGGATGACTGGGGATGGCTGGACACGGCCGGGGATGGCTGGGGATGACCAGGGATGGCTAGACATGGCCGGGGATGGCCGGGGTTGGCCGAAGCCAGTCCATAGTTCCTCAGCGGCCTCCTCCGGGTCAGGATGACAGGAGAGGTTGCCGCCTTCGATGCCGGCTACTCCTGCCTCCCTGACCTGCCTCCAAGCCTACAGCCTGCTTCTCCCTCAAGATTGCACAGGGGGCTTCAAGGCCATGGGGTCTCCACTGCTCAGGGGCGGGTCAAAGGTCTCCCTCAGGTAGTTCTTCTGACAGCCAAATGGTCTTTCCCAATGCTCTGACTCCACCTGCACTCTCTCAGAGACACACGGGCACATTTGCTGCCTGGGCCACATGGAAGGCAGCACGGAGGTGGGCATCCCTGCTAGGTGGTGGGAGCAGCAGCCCCTCCTGGGAGAACCAGGGTCAGGAGGGTGCAGTGGGGCAGGCCGGTATCCCTGCATGGGTGGATGGGGTCTTAGGCTCTAGCTGGGGGAGGAAATCCGATGACAGAGCTCCATAGAGAAGAGCCCTGGGTCCCCGGAAGACCACTAGGAGCTTGCAGGGGAGGATTGCGGGGGGAGCCGGGGATCCCGGGAGGACCACCAGGAGTTCTTAGGGAAGGACTGAGGAGGGGAGCCCTGGGTCCCTGGAGGATTTGGAGGATTACCAGGAGCTTGTGGGGAAAGATGGGGAGAGGGGAGTAGGGGGCTGGAGAACCTCCAGGCAGAGACATCCTGCTCAGGGAGGGAGAAGGGAGCTGGGCCCAGGTGGCCCCATTCCTCGAGGCTGAGTGTCAGCCCTGTCACCTGGTCCCTCCATGCTCATGGGCACCACTGCCGGGCGCCAGCTTGCTTGTCAGCCTGTCTGAGGTCACTTCTTCCCGGGCCCAGCCAGGGCTCCATGTGTCACCGGTCATCCCCAGACCCTCTGGTTCTCAGCCATGGGGTGCTTACATCAGCCAGAAGGGTTAAAGGGACCTTGTGATTTAGTGGGACTCGCTGGCCTCAAGAAGCAGAAAATCAGAGGCCCAGCAGCCCCAGCCACCTGGGATTTCCCCTGTGGAGCCAGAGCTGGCTGGGAGGCACCGGGGAGGCCCAGTGGGAACCCAGTCTCGTGGCCTCTCAGCTTCCCACAGCCCCAGTATCTCAGGTGGACACTGAGCCCCAGGCCTGGTGGCACATTGGAGGTCAGATGGTGGAACCTGAGCTGTTCCTACAGCCGTCCCCTCCTTCAGAGCAGGCGCCTTTTCAGAAGCCCTGGGGCCTTTGTGTCCTTGGCCAAAACTCTCCTGGCTGTCCTCCCTTTACAGGACACGGGCCCCTCTGTGGGACAAGGGAAGGACACAGGCATCCTGGTGGGAACCAAGGCCGGTCTGGCTGCTGCCAGCCCCTGCACCAAGGTTGCCAGCCAAGGTCAGAGGTGACCACAGGAGGACAGGTGCAGAAGTGCCCACACCCGCCTCAGCCCCTTCCATCTGGCAGAGGGACCCACTGGGCCTCTCTCATTGGCCGGGCTGTGTGGTGAAGCCCATCTCTTCCCTCTGAGCCACGTGTGCATGCTGACAGCTCCTGAGAGGGCTGTGTTTTGCTGCCTGCAGGTGCCAGGCTGACTGACAGGCCATGCTGAGGAGGGTCAGCCCCAACCCTCCTGCCATATGCCCTTCCCTGCAGCCTGTGGGGCCACTAGGGCCCACAGGGCCTCACCAGGCCCACGAGATGGGCGTCAGATGTATCTTAGCCTGGGTTCCCTAGAAAACGCATGAGGACTCTGGGCAAAGGGCAAGTGTTTTTCCTTTGGTTTTTTTAAAACCGAAGTTATGTACCCATGGTTTAAAGACCCACGCAGTCTTAGCAGTTCAGGAACCGAACTACAGCTGCGCCCCTTCCCCCAACCCTTCGGCTGCGGCTTCTGTGCGGTCTCTGTGTCCTGAGGACCCGCCGGCTGCGGCTTCTGTGCCATCTCCGCGCCCTGAGGACCTGCCGGCTGCGGCTTCTGTGTGTCTCCACGCCCTGAGGGCCGCGGCCGCCACCTCCAGACTCCTTTTTGCCTCTGTGGCTCCCACAGGAGGCCCCTCCTCAGGCTCTGCCCGGCTCTGTCGTGTGCAGAGTCCGCACTGTTGAGACCTGGTGTCCCCACTGAGAACTGAGCCCAGGAGACACTGCTGTTTTTTTCTTTGTTTTCCAGAGTCAGGAAAGCCTCGATTTTCTTGGTCTAGGTGTACCAGTTCCTCAAGGGCTGGGCTGGTCTCACCATGAGTCTCCTTCCCCTTCACAGCCCCTCCTTCCCTCCTGCTGGGTCAGGGCTTCTGCCCCTGCCGCAGTGCCCTCCTCCTCCCTCCTCCACCCCCCAGCTCTGGGGACTGCTCTCCCGTGGGGCTTCCTGAGGCAGGGAGCG